AGAACCCTGAGGCACTCCACATACAATGTCCAGCTCACTCGATTGGTATTCACCCAACTTCACAACTTGACGCCTCTGTGTCAAATAACTTCTAATCCATTTCAGAACCATTCCTCTGATCCCATATTTTTCTAACTTGTCCATTAATAATTCATGATTGATTGTGTCAAATGCTTTTTTTAGGTCAATAAATATTCCCATCGTGTATTTCTTCTCATCCATAGCACTTGTAATGTCCTCCATCAGGTCGGTAATGGCCAAAGATGTTGATCGGTTCGACCTAAAACCGTATTGGCAATCAGAGAGGATTTTATGCACAAGACTGTTACATCCCCAGTGTAGGAAGGAGCATTATCGTAGGTCGTTCCTCCCCACAGCAATCAGACTGTACAATACATCACTGCAGTGATAAGCAAAGTGAAATTATAAGAGACTATGCAATAATCTACTGAGGTGCAATACTCACATTTAGGTGTAAAATGCATTGTAAATATGCACATATGCAATATCTTGTTGTTCTTGATTTCTCTTAAATACTATATTTTCTCGTGTTTTTATGTATTTTTGATTTATTTTTCAGAGATCTTTATGGTGTTTGTTCTTACGGTTTTGTTGTTTGCTCTCTATTGCTGCTGAAAGAGGAATGTCCCCATTGTGGGGATAAAGATAAAGGATAATCTTTAAAGAATTACAAAATCAAAGTATTCAGGTACATGCATGTTAAATTATGCTTAGGTGCAGCACATTACACCATTCCACTCTCTCAGTAAATTAAGCCTCCCCTCGCAAAAAGAAACAAAAAGACATGATTCTGACCACTAATAATTTTACTCTTAACAATCTTTGATTTCACCATGCAGGAGCCGGTGAAGGCAGAAGAAGGCAGAGACATGGCCGGCAGGATCAATGCTTTCGGCTACTTGGAGTGCTCTGCCAAGACAAAAGACGGTGTGCGGGAGGTGTTCGAGATGGCCACCAGAGCGGCGCTGCAGGTCCGCAAGCGTAAGAAGAGAGGAGCCTGCACATTGCTGTGAGCAGTTCAGACGCCATCAAACAGCTGACCAGTAGGAGAAAAACAAAACGCATGAAAAGAACTGACCTTCTACCAAATGGCATCTTTGTACTGTATCCCGCATTTCACGGTAACAGGCAGGCCAACAAACATAATACAGGAAATGGACCCTGTCTATATTACAACCGTGATTAGATATTGATGTTTAATGTTCTTGTTGATTTGCATTTTTTCTTTATACATAGAATGTTTTCCTACTTGTTTTTCCTTATATTTGTAAGGTAATGAGGCAGTGTAGATGCACACGTTTGTATGCAATATTGTTCTTCACGAGCTCGGAGAAGCAGCATCATCTTGTAGAAAGTCTCCCTGAGTAAGGTCTTGTCCAGAGAGTCCAGACTGTCCTGTTAGTATCAGTTCTGTTTATCGTGGTAACAGTCGTGATAGAAGATGAAAGTTGATATCTTTTGATCATAAGAGCTAGTGCCTTTTTTAAAGTTTGCACACCACCGTCTACTTCTCATGTCTTTCGTTGTGAAACCTGAGCAGAGCCATAACTTAGGCTTTCAGTGCTGTTGACAGTTTGTCAAAACATAGCTTCTTGTGGCATTTTTTTTTTTTTGTCAGCATTTTCTCTGTGCCCTCCATTTTCAGTCTGCTCACACTGAGGATAAAGCAGCTGCTTCTGTGATAATGGTCAACAAAAGAGTGCACTGTATAAGAGAATCAGATCTGATTGTTCTCATGCATCCCTCTGATCTGTGCAGTGGACCTAGATGGGGGATGAGAACTGGCCAATCGAGACACAAGCCAATATGACTTAACTATGCACAACAGCTGTTAGTATCAACAAGATGACACTGCTGAAAAAGAAATCCATAGGAAGGCCGAGACCTGGTGAAACCTCCCTTATTTGTGTATTATGACTGAGGTGAGCTGGTCGCGCCCACTGTAGGAATTTGTGTGTTGGACGGGTTAGCCCAGTCATGGAAGTCAGGTCTTGTTGGACTACTGCGTGTGGATGTGTCCAGTTGGACGACATTCTTTACATGTTTGAGAAGAGCCATGTGAGGAGTGTGTTTTCACCCTGGTGCCTTCTCCGTTCTGGTGTGCCTTTTGTTGTTCTCTCCCAAACCAGATAGACCAGCTGCTTGATACTAACCTGATCCTGTTGAGGTCAAGATGACGACCATCCTGACATTTCAAAGCTCAGATCGCTGAACAGTTTGAAAAGCAGAAAAATGTCCCTGTGCTACGGTGTATGCCCTCACAATATAATGACTGAGACTGTATTTGCTGCATAGATAGACTCAATGTTATTGAATTAACAAGGAATCATGGGAAAACACTTGGCTGCAGCTAGAAAGATGCTTGTTAATGTTTTAGTTATATCTATACATCTTGGATCTACAATGATCTTGCTCTTCATTTCTTGGCAAATGAAACCTTTGAGAGTTGACATCTTAAGCCAAAGGAGCAGAAGATCAGTGGTCTACACTGTATTGTACTTAAAGGGGCTTTTGGAGACACATCGGTGACTGTTCCCTGGTCCCATTTTTCAGTGATGTCCTCTCAAAATTCCAAACTGTTACCTTGACCTGACGACTTGATATACAAAGCTTCAACGGCCCACCGACTCCCCAGGCACAGACTCCTCACTGCATTCCTATTCCCCACCTCTGTTGCTCTTTCATGTAGTGCACATATCGCATTGGTTGCATATTGTTGTCGGTAAATAGGAGGGTGGATGTTGAAATGTGTGTGGCGAAACACTAAATTTGATGTTGCATGGAACCTTCTTACAATGCTAGGAAAGGCCAAGAACCTACCAGCTGACAAGGTCTGTTATCTATCATGCAGCTTCCCCCCCCCACTAGCCAAGCACATATGCTTTAACTGAGAGTCAGTGGTCAAGCTATAATTTTTAAACTACTTGTAGATGTGACGTTTTTGATTATAATCAGAAGCACCATATAAATGTTGTTACCTCATATCTTTGTAGGGCAGACGCTGTGATAGCTCTGGACTAGCTGCGTGTTTGTGGACAACAATAGGCACAGTAACAAGGCAAACACATTCAGATCCTTACTACTGAAGATTTTTATCAATGAAAAACAAAAGCCTCGAGTTATGTTTCATAGCCGAGCCATGATGTTAAGGGGTCTCAGCAAGCTTAACGCTAAGGAATTCTTGGGAATTCATGAAAATAGTGGAATAACATGCAGCTGGAAGCACAACATATTGAAAGCATTAGCTTAGAGCAGCAGAGGGTCGAGTGTGGAACATATCACAGAGAGCATGTACTATACTGCTGTTAATGTGTATGCAGATAATGTGCGAAATCAAAAGTTGTCCTTAGGTCAATGCATGCATGACAGAACCATGGGTCTTCACAGTGTATACACACACGCAGAGCACATGTCTTTGGGAACATCTGCTCAGTGTTGTGCAACTTTTTTTCTTTCTCTGGAAGTGTTTGAAATTAGAAATGAATCAGATTTATATAAAAGCTCATTGTAATAATGCTTTGTAAACAGGAAAGTGTTGTCGTGAATAATTGATCTGAAGTGAACATGAACATTGTTAATAAACTATTTTTGAGACTAGACCAAATCTCCTTCTGTGGTCAATCTTGTAGGAAATTAAGACATTGTATATGATTAATCAATAGGAATATTAGTCATGACAGTGTGCAGTGTAACATGTCCAAAATTAGTTTATTTCTTCACTCCAACTAATGAGTTCCTGAGAGACTGAACTGTCTGCTCTTTATTTCTAACCCCGAAACAAAGAAAATGATTACTATTTAAAAACACGCTAATGTGAAAAACTAAAGATTCAATGGTGCATTTTGGCAATGTCATCAAAAACGGAGCACAGTTTACTGCACCAAAATACACAGACGCTCTTAGAAAAGTTAATAAAAAGAACCTATTCTTTAATAAAAGATGCCAGTGCTGTGTTTAAAGCTCAAAGAGAGGAAGAATGAAATATGGACCTTTCTGTATTTAAAGCTAAGAGGCTTGTGAGGATGTTACTGTGTCAGTTCTGTGCTGGTCGTCTGAAAAACATGTTAATGCTCATTTTTCCACTCTGGGTCCACAAACTGCTGGAGGGCGCTCTCTTCTCCCACAGGACCTATAACAGGTGCAGAGCAACAACCTTTTAGTTTCTCACTGTTTTGTCCAAGTGATATTTGTGAATAAATGTTTTCTTCAAATGCAACTTGTTTCTACATCAGCTACAGTAGTAATGATGTAGCCAAGCACAGGAGGCCACTAACTTTCAGAATCCACATTGATTCTCAGGGTTGTCAGTCGTGACACAACATCATCTTCGCCTTCTGCATCTTTGAAGTCAAATCCAGTGTAGCCTTTCTCCTTCACACAGTAGCTGATGAACCTACAAATGAAAAACCACATATTGTCAAACGTGAAAAAGAAATGCTTTCAAAAATCAACTGGTAAAATTTCATCTGCTTCAAAACACCTAGTGTGTAACAGACTGCACTGACACTATTTTGTCATTTGCTGTTTTCAGGGTCCATGTGCTTTGAATCTCAATAGTCACATCACAATTTTTAACTCTGTGTCTGCAACTGAAAGAACATTCTTGTTGAAATTTTTGGCAAAGTCCTGTTCCTACCACAGCTAAAACATCTCTGCAGACATCTTTGCCTTACTTCTCCCAGGTGGGGTCCTTGTTGAGGATCACAGGGTTTCCCACAACTATCAGCAGGGACCTGGCTCTTGTGATGGCTACATTGAATCTCTGCAATGCAGATACATAAATATAAGACAAAGGAACAAGAAGAAATGAATAACTTCTTTGATGATAAACATACAAATCCGGTTGTTTCATTACCATCTCGCATGATCATGGGAATATGACAAACCTTTTCATTAGACAAGAATCCAATGTTGAAGTCTTTGTCCATCTTGACGTAGGTGATGCTGCTGCGGACAGTAGAAACCATGATGATCTTCCTCTCCTGTCCCTGAAACTCCTCCACAGACCCCACCTGATTGGTAAAGAAAAACAGCGATCTGCCAGTTCAGTTAAGAGATTTTCTCAGTTTCCCACATGGTAAAAATCTGTAACCCTTAAAAGCAAGTCCTGATCATTTAATTACACTTAAAGCTACACTATGTAACTTTTTTCCAAATATTTATATTGTAGAAAAAAAACTTGTCTTAATATGGAGAGGTGCTGGCGAAGCCCTGTGACCCAGACTCACTGAACAGCATTGGCAGCAGTGCAGAGATATTAGCTTCCAAAAAGTTCTGGGTGGGACTGACCTCTCATTCAGAGCACCAAACAAGACACTCTGATGTAGAGTTACTAACCTTAAGCTCTTTGAGATCACTCCATTGACTCAGTGCTGGGACAGACTTCAGGACCTTCTGGATTTTCTCAACCTGTTAGAAAAGTAAGCACGACAACTTGTTAAGACTGTGTCCTACAAACTTTCTCTCCACATCTCTAAAATGCAAATAAACTCAGTGCTGGCTCACCTGCTTCCTGTAGGGGGAGATGATGCCTATGTCTTTCGGAGAGAGCTTGGGGAGACCTTTCTTTCCTTGTGTTTCCACCAGCTTGGTGAGGTAGTCGACCAGAACCTCAATTTCAGACACATTGAAGAAAGACGGGCTGTTGGCTTCTCTCTCGTTTTTCCCTAACACCCCGTGGAAGATCACTGGGAAACCCTGTGGTGATGTGAGAGTGAACTGCTGTCAGTCGTCAGCCATTGATGCTCACACGTAAAAACCGGTGAAGTTTCTCAGTATGGGCTATACAACTTTGATTGATCGTGTATAAGAGTTTTACAAGTAAACACTGTAATATTTACTTTGTATTGCTGGTTATTTAAATAATTACAGATTTTTTGAGAAATTGTTAAAACTGTTCTTGTTGTCATACCTTTTTGGGAAGGTGCTTCCAGTTACAGTAAGTCTCACGGTCCCACTGGTCAGCATACACCTGCAGCTCATTCTCATAAAACAGCTCATTTGGGATTTTCAGAATGGCAGAGTGAGACCTGAGTGGAGGAGGAGAACTCATGAAGGCTGTACAGCTTCAACAAAAAAAACTTCATCATTCCTACCAAGCATCATGAAAGTGTAAATTGAAAGCCACACCTGTAGTTTCGCAGCAGTTTGGTGACAAAGCGGGTATCAAAGTGTCCAGAGTCTGTACTTTTCTGATATAAAGTGTTGTGTTGCATTAGCCTCTCCAGCAGAGAAAGCCCTGAAAAACATTCAAACGATATTATCAACTCATACTTGCCAAGTTTAGACAGAATGAAATACAACAGAAGCAACAATAGTTGAAGATCGTTTATCTTACACATTTATCATTAAAAATACCACATCATACACTTAAACTACTGCAACTGAGTGCAACAAAATACATCAAGATAAACTGATGTTACTGCTGTAGTCTCACCCAGTCCATGCTGCAATGCAAACGGAGATCGAAGGATTGGCCCCAGCTGTTTGGGGTCTCCTGCCAGCACCAACTGGCCATTCTTTGGGTCGAGGAGACCTGTGAAAACAACGTTTACATGTTGCCTAACGAGTCCTTCACAGCACTGGTAGAAGACTCTACCACTCTTTGACTTCGTCAGAGTAACAATGGTTCATTTGAGACATCATAAAAATAATGATTAGGTCATGTAAATCTTGACCTTTAATTTGTAATGCACCAGTAAGCCTAAATGATTTGTATTCATTAGATAAGGAAAAGGTGGATCATCCTTCAGATTTAATCAAAATTAAACCTGCAGAATGGGGTTTATGACTTTTCAGATGCTTTCATCAAGGTTTCACCAAAGCCACAGACTTATTGTAGCACACTGATCAGATATTTACCTGCAATAGCAATGACACACTCTGGCTCCACTGCCTGGCCACCTTCATCCACAAACACATGGGTGAAGTGACCGACTGGGATTCCTCCAGACACAAGTCTAAAAGCAGAAATACACAGCAGAATTACTACTATAGTAATATGCAAGAATAACATGGCTAGTGATCTACAACCCTAATGAACTGCACTTAATTGAAGTATTAATACATGGCTCTTACCTGCCAGCTGTCACCATAGTTGTAACCATGATTGTGTATTTCATCAGAATTTTGGTCTCTGGAAACATAAACCCATCTTGTTTCTGGTCCCAGTTACAACATTTCTGAAAGAGCCACAAGACAAGACAGCAAAAATAAACTATTTGTCTGAGATAAAAGTCTGGACAAAACATTTACTTGGTTTCTCCAGAAAGTACATTCTGATTAACAAAAAAAGACCATGTATCGCTCAGATCCACCTGATAAACTTGTCAGAATCGCTGTGAGGACAATGGTTAACATGCAGCAGTGGCTGCTTGGCTAATTGTGACATGCACATATTGTATTTGCTGTGAATTTCAGTTTTTATTCCACAACTCAAAATGTTATTGCTCCTCTGTACACAAGTATATGCACATACCTTTGTTACTGATTGTCACAAGCATACTGAACTGCAAAATATCAAATATTCAAATAAGACTTGTAGGCAAATGTACAAGAACAATAACCTGATTATTTTGTGGGTGTAAAAAAAACATCTCACCAGCAGGTGCTTGGGGACACTTCTTGGGTCTCTGCTGCTGGCGTACAAACGGTAAATCTGATAAGGATCCATATGTACCATCAGTCTCTCACAGAGCAAATCACATGCGCTGTTAGAGGGTGCACAGGCGAGGATGTGGGCTGATGGATCGGCCCTGCTGACCTGACAAGGCAAACAGAAATGGACAACAGTGCTGTTTCATTGTTGTTGTTCAAGGTGGTTTCTTGGAAGAAAGCATGTCATGCATAATAAAAACACATTACATTACAACATTATTGAGTGTGAACATGCCAACCTTGGGCTCAACTGGAATGACACTTATAGTCTATTTTAAACGCTGTGAGTTCAGGTTACAGGCCCATTGCAGGCCATTATTTACTTCCATTACAATGATGTTTAAACATTTCATCAGTCTGCATGTCCAGCTTTATGGAAGGGAGATAATCCTACTATACTGAATAAATGCACTTAATCAAGTTTCCCTTTGTGGCTACCTCTTCTTTTCTTAATGAACAGCTCCCTGTTGCACAGCGCACAGATCATAAATACAAGATTTTACACTTCGTGTTCACAGCTGAAGACAGTTACACACAACAAAAAGTGTTTCTTTTTCAACATTTATGACTAAATAAGCAAATCTGGACAAAATAAACCATAGATACAAAATAATCTACATGTAGCTCTTCAGGGTGTGGTTTCACTCTGGATATCTTGGCCTGAACATCCATTGACAGATGTCTGTCGATCAACTGATCGTTACAGCTCTAGCTCATATACAGTACATTCCCACTACATATAGTTGGATTAAGTGAACCTCTGCTGCGGGTCTAACTACAAACTAATAAGAGCTGGGGGTCAGTCACTGTCATACCAGTCTTGCTTGTAGCCTACACAGTTGGTGCAAAACTTTTCCTAATAGCCCACAACTGCATACAAAAGCTACAGATAATAAAAAATATTTAAAGACTTTTAATGCCCTCTCGGGCCTTTTGGAAGGAAGTCGATTGAATGCTTTATGAGACCACTACAGACCTGCAGATGTCCTGCTTAATACCTGATTCATAGCTTCAACCAGAGTGACTGTCTTTCCGGTTCCAGGAGGCCCAAACACAAGATGAGGAGCAGGCTTTGATGATCCGGCTACAATACGCTGGACAGCGGAATGTTGCTCCGGGTTGCTTTCCAGCTGACGGTTGAACATGCTAGAGAGAAGTGTGGAAATGGATTTTTACACCTTGCACATGCACTAATGAAACATTTTAATATTACAATCTAGGGCAAAGGCTACAAATACTAATGAGAGTGGTCAACTGAGTAAAGCAAAAACATTCAGAATTTGTAGCTTTATTTGTTGAGTAATCAATAAAGGCTAATGATCGAGCCTAAGCAGAGAACAGTAGACTTTGACTGGTATGTGCTCCAGCAAACAAGGCTTTGCATGAAACACCTCAGCCAACAATATCCCCATAAGTCACCCCAGGTTTATGGCATTAAAACCAAAAAAAACAGTGTCCCTTGCTGTTGGCACGATATGATGAATGAGCGCCCAGAAAGAAATCTGCTGAGTATGCACACTTATCATTAGCAGTTCATATGCTCTTATCCAAAATGCTAAACAGTTTAACCATCCACTGTTTCACATGTGGGACACTAGCACCATGTGGAGCTTTAATAGACATGTTTTATGAAAGGTTACAAAAATATCAACAAGTAAACACTGTGTATCTACTGACTAGAGCCAATTGGGTCATTCTGGTCTCTTTAAAAAAGAACGGTCAGTTCTTAAAAAAACTAAATATACTATCTTCTTACCTTTAAAACAATCTGGCTGTAGTAAATTATTTTACAATTCTTTACTGCCAGGGTCTAAAGTTCAAAAATACTAAAGTTGTTGTAATTTTTTGTAGATGGTACCACATCCATGAGGGTTTTTGGTTTTGTGTATCCATGTTCATTATGTGTATAAGCACCAGACCTCAGTTTAGGCATGGAGAGAGTAGCCACTGCTGCACCAGACGGGAACAGCACTTCTTCGAGCTGGTGTTTTGCTGCCAACTCCACGGCTCGATGCTGAAGCTTCACAGGGAATCGGTTGATAGTAAACTCCACGTCAAACTTCATATTGCTGATAAAAGTCTGCAACAACCTGAAAGAGGAACAGAAAGAAAGAGGAACGTGTGAGTTAGGTCCTTTTTTTCTGGGTTTTAAGTAAACAAGCATCCTTAGTCCAGATCTTACTTCTTCGAGAAGCCCAGTTTCACCCTGTCCAGCTCTACTCTGTGAACATATCCAGTGTACACGGTGATCGGCTGGACTGTCTCCTCAGATTTGGACACTCTCAGACAGTCTCCTCGAAGTACTGATGGCCGATTCTCAGCAACACCGGGAACCTGTTGGAGTATATCAATGTTGTTCTTCTTTCAGCTGTCTTATTCCTTCTCCAAAAAACTTCCCTCAGTTTACTGTAGACCAGCAAGCTTTCAGAGGCCAACTTCAACATACAGAGATCATTTTACATCACACAAAGACAGCACAGGGGACAAGATAATGTTTTTAGGTGATAGAAACTTCCACTCCAAACTCCTTACTCTGAGCGTAAGCAGTTTTCTGTTGCTTTGTTCTTGAGTCATGGTCTGATTGTGGAGGTCATATTTCCTGATGTCCACCTCCATCTGTATCTCTTCCAGGTGTAGCAGGAGGTGAAATCGATGAGAGTAGTTCTTCATCTTTAAGGTACAGCTGAGGAGACTCCTGGACACAGAACACAGATACAAACATTGAGTTGAACACAAGGACATTTTGATCTAAATACTTGACAAAGTAACTGTAATTAATTAGGCGTTCCTCTCACTTCACTGATGCAAGTTTCTGTGTAGCAGTTGGAGAGAGGTGCTCAGAGGCCTCCATTCTGTGTTTAGCCAGTTCCTTTAGGTAATAAGGGTACTTGTTATCTCCTAATTTCACAGGTAATTTTACATGCTGTAAACTGCAGAGAACAACAACAAGAGAGAATGAATAAAATAAAATCAGCCAAGCATTATTTCTTAAACTATGAGACGATTATTTGTTTTAATAATCAAGCATTTTTATAATGTGACTCTTGGACAATCAGCTTACCTCTCAGGGGGTACTCCCTCCACTACCACAGTGTCAACAGGCTTGTATGTGACAACCTGATAGGGTTTATAAGGAGCCACAGGTCCCAGCTTCGCAGCCAGCGAGGTCTTGGCTGCAGCTTCAATCTCCCTCACAATGCAGAAGGGCACAGATCCAGGGACATCAGGGCAGAACTCAAAGTACATTGTCGCAGGGAAAAATCCATAATGGTTCAGCATGTACCGAACCACAACTTCATAGCTTTCTCCTGTAGAAGAAAAGAAAGCACAGAAGAATCAGTGATCATTAAATATGTCTTCAGTGGTTTTTATTTGGCATTTTAAAGGTATGGGATGAGCATCTCACCGGGACAGAGGAACAGTGGACAGGCTCTGGTCACTCTCCTCTCATCCTCCAGAGTGAAACAGCGCATCTTGTGCAGAGCAGTGTAGTAGGTGAAGTGAATGCAGTTTGTGCCCTTGTTTACAATATTGAACCTGACGATGAACAACTCCCTCAGACAATACTGAGTGAACTGCACCTTTCCACAACTTGCCACGGGGTTTGAGGAGATCTCAATGCCCCCCTTGTCAGCTGTCAGCTCCTTCCTGTGAGAAAGATGTGATCAGGCTGCAAAATGAACAACTGAAGGCCAACATGGTGTAAAGATACAGCAAAGTCGGTGCATGCCGGTGGTCAACAGGCTCACAGATAGATCTCTGCATGGGTGCGTCGGTTTGATGCCGGTGAAAAGAGCACAAAGATACTCAGACCAACTACAACTGCTCCTACAGACTACAGAAAGACTCAAAACAACTACAGTACAGAGAGACCACAAAGCAACTGCAAAACACACCAAATGACCATAAAGATGTGCAGCCAATCCCAGCTGTCACTAGACAAGAGGCGGGGTACACTTTGCACAGTCTATCGCAGGGCTATCACATACTGTAGGGACAAACTCTGCACAGAAAGGCCCAGTCGACTGGCAAGTGTGAACCTTTTTTTGACAAAGCTAACCACACTACCCTGAACCCTGTATCTTTAAAAGGCACCAGTATGATGGAAGAACCCCTCCCACCCGTCTCCTGGATTCTCCAACCCTCTGCCAGCTGACAGAACATGCTACAGCTTCCTCTTTGATGCTTTCAGGTTGCACACCCTGTTTCCTCCCATAGTCACATTAACTGGATTAACAGGACAAACAGGCCTTAATACACCAGTTAATACAGAGTTCCCGTTTTGTTAATGTTACACAATGTTCCTGGAGAAATGAAGTTTTACATATTAAACGCTTGTGCCTAAACATGAAGCGGTGACACGTATCAGTAGGGCTGCAACTAACAGTTAAATATCAATTATGTTGATTATTAGTTTTGTCTATTAAGTGAATGAAGAAACTATTGCAATGACATCCCATAATATTCAGTTCAATATCATCTTTGAAAAATGTTTAACATTTATGCTAAGAATATGACTAAAATGATTATACAATTTCCTTCAACATCCTATGTCCTTACCTGTTCGCCTTTAACTTGTTAAGGATGTCTGTGGCCAGCTTCTTCTTGGGGGTCAACACAGGGGTCACAGGGGTTGAGGGGACAAAGGAGGGTGTCTCATCAGATGTCTGAGGGCCCTGGGGCCTCCTCCACTGATCACAGTACACTCTGACCTACAGCAGAGATAAAAAAAAAAAACAAAAAAAAAAACATGCTTCCTCATTTTCGTTTCCGTTTTCTCGCAGTTCAGCAGATCTTATTTCCATAGAGCAGATGCCACATCACTACACAGTACTGATGAAGTGACAGAGCTCACCTGAGGTCTGACATTGATGTGGATTTTCCCCTGTCTTATGTAGGCTTTGTTGAACTTTAGAAGAGCAGTAATAACACTGGAAAAGGTGGGGTCTTTTATTCCTGTTCTGTGAACGAAACATGGAGGAGTAGCTACAACACAGCACAGTCTAAAAGACGAATGAGGCAAACGCTTGTATTTTCAGCCTACCTGCCCTTAAATTCGGAGTTGTAGATGTCTCGGAGTTCCTTTTTGCTGGTGTTGGATATTCTGTCTCCCAGAAATTCAATAAAGTCCAGTCCGGATTCAAGCGACTGCACGAGCGACTTCATGTTTGCGTGTTTTACAGGCCGCTGCTATCGCTTGAGGGAAAAGATCAAGTTCATGCACTAACCAACTACCTCACACCCAGTTTCCTGAAATACTGCCGTTCGTTGATATGTTTCGCTACCGGATCCCTATGTCCTCTGGCAATGGGGAAATTACCGTGTTACGTATTTTGCGCGACTTTTACGCATAGTTGCAGGTTATTGACATTAACCCTTAACGTGAGCATCGAGTTCGCCTACATTTTATAGGTTAAAACATCAATAAAATAACCTGCACATAGAGCAGAGTTCAGAGCAAAACTCTGTGTGATGCACGCTGCCCAACGGCGCCAGCCAGCCAGGGAGCGTCTGTAAATGTGTCGCTCACAGTAGGAGAGCGACAACATCTAAGGGACGGAACAAATACCGGAGCCGAAACAAACAGCTCCAGAGCAACGTCCTCTGTCTTTCTGCCTATATTAAAAAGATATTTAATTTAAATTTCCACTCTGGTGATTTACGACAATGGCGTCCTCACACATTTTATTATTGACACTCCCTGCTGTAGTTACATAATAACCAAGCAAGCAGGAAGAGAGCCCGGTGGAGCCCTATGGAGCACTGTGGTGCAAGCCAGTGGTTTCAGAAACGTTGTAATACTTTATAAAACGTTAAAAAAAAAAAGGTGGGCAAACTTGTACAAACTCCAAGAAGATTTCCAGCTGCGACTGTTGCCAAAGGGGCCTCTTTCAGCAGAATAAGACACCATGCCACATTGCAAAAATGATATGGTTTGGGGACATGCAGAACAAAGATTTCATAGCATTGCTTTGGCCTATCAGATCTCGATACAATCGAGATGGGATGCGCTAGAAAAACAAGTCAAATCAATGGATCAATTTAACAACTATTTCCCGTATAATTAGGATTAAAAAGGGATAGAATCTTTATAATTCCAGGTGCACAATATGTATATGCTCAAAGTCCACAGTCCACACATGAATAATGGAATAATATTTTTTAATTACATACATTGTTATGGACATAAAATATATGGCGAATGCAGCCAATATATCAATATACTTTAGCCTTAATATGTCAACTCCACCTCAGTTCAATAATTCCCTCAAAAACCCAAAAGAAAACATTTGACTACAAGGCTCTCTTAAAAAACAAAAACTCCATACATGACATAAAACAGATCATTATTGCCTGAAGATCATATTTAACGCAACACTTTTATTTCTTGAATATTAAATGTACTTATAGTTTGTATAAAAATATAGCAGAAGCTAAAGGCAAACAGTTGGCAGCAGGACACCGATACTTTCACAGTCCATGGGGTATAGAGGGGTTATCACTGAAAATGTCTCTCTAAACAGAGAGAAATAAAAGTACTAAACCTCAACAGGGAAGGCAAAATCGAGTCACTGAGTGGCAGAAGAGAAACGTTAATGCTTTGGCATGACCTCTGGTTACAACCTAATGCATAAATATGTTAAGATGTTAGTTTTTTTTTTTTTTTTGACTGAAACTGTATAATTAGAAGCTGTCAACTGTTCAGACTGATATCATACCAAACTGCATACAGTGTTGGCCCCCTGTTAATACAGAGGTACTGGAAGCTCATAAAAGACATTAGCAATGTTGTATAGAAAGTGTCAATTAATTGTTGCATGAAAGTCAATGGGTTTAGCAGGATGTGTTCATTTGAAGCACTGGGAGATCACAAACTGTCTATGGAATGTGTGCAACTTTGAACAGCAGGGAATGACCCAACCTTCACAGTGTCACTAAAGGCATTTTTTTGTTCAAAAGTAAAAACATATTATTTGCAAATACGCTACTGTTAGATCACTCAATGTCAATTTAAAATGACGGCATCCCCTCTTAGTGCACTAAAAAAAGCTGTCATTCTCTAAAAGCAAATGGAACAACTGTCTCTTTTAGAGGAACGTACAGTACGTTATGTTGCATCACACATTTTGCGCGAGCATCATCTTCTCAGTTTGTCGTAAACCCAGCAGCCTCTGTCCTTCTAAGCATTCTGCATCTCCTTTCCAATCTTGTAGCTCAGGATTTTGTTCCAGTCGATCTTGGTGCGGGTGACTGGGAGCTGTCTGCGTAAGGCTTTGAACGTGGTGTCTGACATGGTCTGATAGTTTTCACTGATGGCCACCTGGAAAACAAAAAAAAAAAAAAAAACACAGGTCATGCTTTCTAGCAGAAGAAGAAAGAAGGGAATGGTTTAATTAGCAGTAGTTTTTGCTTGCCAGTATCATACAGGACATGTTTTGTTAGGGATTTTATTGTGAGTTTTATTGTAGACATGTATCTGAAGATCAAATTATGAAAACGTATTTAAACTGGTATTTTTGAAAACATGTACATTGCATCTGGTTTATATGAATTTGTACTGTATTGTGAACTCGTGACACAGCAATAAAACTCTACTAATTTATTCTTATATGGAGGCAGCTCCTCCGACTCCCACATACCTGGTATTCATTCTCTGCATCCTCAATAATTTTCACCAACTCTTTTGCAGTCTGACTCTCATTCTGCCAAAACATGCACTCATAGGTTATTTTAACTATTTAAACACACATGAGCATAATTTAAATTAACTATGAAATGCTTTTCCACAACATCCACTACTGCATGTCCATAAAATTATTTTCTACTTGCTTGTGGATTATAAACACATATTTGTTTTACAAAAGGAGCCCATGGTTAAACAACACATCTGCACCTTTCTTATACAACACTTAAAAGTTTAAATAGAAGAACATTCAATAAGATAAAACAAACACTCACAGAAACAGTCAGTGCTTCCTGTACATTTTTGTGGCTGACCAGCTGCACATTTCCATCCTCGTAATAATGTACCTGGGATGATAAGAAGAAATAAAAGACTGAAGGATACAGTGAAAGAAAACTATGTTCATAGCTAAGCTCATGCTACATGATAACCACGCAGCATACCTGTACTTTCAAGACTCCAACCACCTGTGCCGTAGACTGCGAGACACTGAACTTCCATTCAGACCGGCAGCGCCCGTTCCTGGGAACAGAAATTGTACAGGAGTACACTTTAACACAATAATACGTCGATTCTCCTACGCTGCTCAGACATAACTGTCTGAGTGAATCTGATTAGGGAGATTACAATGAGACCGTTACCCTCCATCAACTTACCAGAAGTTTTTGGGCTCAAATTGATGACTCTCAATACAAGCAATAATGGTCTTCTGGCCATCAATTGTTTTCCCATAAACCTGTGGCAGATAAAACAGGATGAATGGGTGATTCATGGCATGTAATGCTGAACACAGCAGCTGTGGTGCAGACTGGGAGAACGTTCTTACAGTGCATATGCCGCTGGGGTAGTGCTCCTTAACATAGGCCCTCAGAGCAGAATCGCAGGCATCTCTCCATGACCTGAGGGCTGCCTCGCCCTCATGGGGCTTTGGGTCGCTGGCCTCTTTCCTAAGATGGTCAAACTTGAAGGAGATCCTGTTGTGAGGGTCAAAGAAGCGACCGTTACCAAGATCTCCATGCTCTGTTATCAGAACCTACAGGAGAAACAGACAGCAATGGAGAGATCAAACATACCGTTACTAAGACAGTTTACTCAAGCACTGCCCCAATAATGCAAATTAATGATGGAGTTTTGGTGAGAATAATAAAAAAAAATTTAAATATGCTTTAAATGCTTGCCTGATCGTCATATCCCTCAATTTTGGCAAGGGTAAACTGATCCATGTTGTACTGGGCAAAGGCACTGCATCAAAAGAGAACATGGCCACAAGTTGAATGCACATCCAGAGCATCAATATTTAGTTAAATTAAAACAAATATGAAATAAATAAATAAGTAAACACACTGTGCTGCACCGTCTCTGAGAAGATTATCATTGTTAAGCAGTATCCGTACATCTGAAAATAAGAATGAACACAAAATGAGCATTAACAAATTGTTTCCATACACACTGAAATCCAGCTAGCCCTACAGATGGCACATCACAAATGAGGCTCACCATTGAAAACTTCATTGAATTCTCCTGGAGGAGCGTGCACCACAAAATTACTTGCAATACGGACCTAGAAATAAATTAAATGTCTTGTCATAAAACTCGAATCATCAGATTAACACTAAACACAGTGTGTAACTCAAAGAAACTCAGGTAGAATAACGACAGCCTCCTATGCCACAAGCCAAACCTCCTGCTTGGTTTTTTTTTGGAAAATCTAACCTACTGATTCTCTTTTGAGATATAGTAGGTGATGAGAAGTGGAAAAACTCCAAATAGCCACTAGGTTGAAACAGAGCGTAATCTGCAAACTGTGTTAGCTGCAAGCTTGTTACAGAGGGCTTTGTTTTGACCACTCCTTACATGGCAGGCAGTGCGTGTCACCCAAGGGCTTTTCTTAGCAGCCAGTATGCAAGTGTAAGAATGTGGCAGGTACAAGTACTGTCATAGAGCAATACTCTGTAAGGGCTGTTAGGCAAACAATACACAATCAGTGAGGTTGTAGCAAAGGTTACTGTCACTAAAGAAGTTGCAATAACCCCTCTTCTTATTTTTAATCCTCCATAGCATGAATCAGTCCTACATCCCAATGTCACTTCCCCTTTATATTATAGTGATGCCGTCTGTCAGGCAGCGGCCATAGACTGTATGGGAGTGACCTACAAAGGGGCCCATCCAGCTGAAAGGGCAGAGGAGCATTACAATAGGTCACCTAGACTAACTGTGCTCCTGAATAGTCACTCCATTCAGAGTTCTGAAAGCACTCCTGGGCTCAGGCTCTCAGATCCCTTTCAACAGTATAAGGTAAAGATAAATAAAATGGGGACTTTCCTTCCTTTACAGTGACTTGTTCACAGTATGTTTACATGTTCATTGTTGTAAGACTGGGGGGTTTACACTAGATTCCACATCATCAGCTTTAGGAATGCACAGGGTTACTTTACAACATGTAGCAGCATGTTGCAGACAGCAGCACCAGCCAGTGCAAGCTCCAACAACACAGCTGGAGCATTGCACCGCCCTGTGAAAAGAGGGCCAAAGTTACAGGCTTACAATCTAAACACAAAATATTTAAAAAAGGCCCTGTAAGATGTGGGACTAACTTCCACTTTTGGTGTTATCAATACCAGTTCAACCAGCTACATTATCTTACAAAAAACTGGGTGTGGGTGGTGTTATGGTGCCGATGCTTTGTCATTATTGTGACTGTCAATGCAGGAAGTAGCTCGACTTCCTAAGATTTAACATTGCCTAACAAATTGAAATGACTGTAATCTCAAAGTCAAACCGAATCAGACATCAGCATATGTAATTATTTATCAACGAGGGTCAGAGTCACACAAGTTAGCTAACTTACAGAATGCATTTGTACACAGAAGCAGCATGTAAGGCAACGTTACAACTCTGAACTGTTCAAATTCAGCACTGCCAAAGGCTGAGCAAGCACACACTCCTCATGCTGTATATAATCTAAGGATACGTACATCTCAAGATGAAGATTAGAAGCTAGAGAATAACCACACTGCGATTTTTAAAAGATAATACCTTCTCCTGATCGCTGAGCTCTTCGAAATCTCCCATCTTGCCTCAATGAAGCGTTTAACAAAGCCACTCTTGGTGTTGCCAGATATGCGGGACTCCTCCCAGCACGATGAAGCCCTACAAGGCAAAGTACCATGAATATATTAGCGCTGTGCACAGGGTGGGCTTTCCACTTTCAACTACTTTTAACTAAGCAAATGAGAAAGTGTTCCAGCGCAATGCACACGTCTGGTGAGTAATTATAATTAACCTGTATTTAAATAACACTTTTCAAAAGGAAATTTGTAATAAAAAGAACACTCAGGGGAGCAAAAGCATACATAAGGAGAAAATATGTAAATACAAGCTATTACATGAAAATAAGTCTTTAGTAGACATTTGAAAAATGACGCTAAGGTTGTTTGTTTAACTGGAGCTGGTATTTTGTACAAACTGGAGCTATTCAATTGACTGGTCACTGAATAAGGAACTACACTTGTCCAACAAAGACAGACATTAATATGAATTTTTACACCTTGACATGAAATTGAAAATCTAATCCTAACAATTCTCCAGAAAGGAAAGATATCTGTCTTTGGTATTTTAGAGAAATTAAAAGTTTAGGTTAAAAAACAAACTCATCCCTAGATTTCTAGCTTCATGCACAAGGGTGACTTTTCTAAAGCCTCCTTTGTGTAGCCGACTCCCTATGTTACTGTCTCAAATATAGTCTGTTTATAAACGGATTCTCATGCAGCTTTAATTATTAAGACGTAAGTTATAAACAGCCTACAATACTTTTTTATTTATATAAATAATGAAACTCGGGTAATACGATTTAGTCTATTACTATGAACTAAAGCTGATAATATCCCAACCTGGCAACCCTGCCGCATTCAGTTCCTATCAATGAAGAAGAAAACCCGATTTCGACTTAAGTGTTTCAATAGTGTGCTACAATGTAAATACTCAAAACAGTAGCTTAACGTAAAAGTTGGTTAAACAGCCTACTGAGCACCGATAACTGATATCCATCATGTTTGAAAGATTGACTCTGGCTGACCTGGCCTACGTTTGTTTGTTTTTTTTCCCCCCAGTCTCTTCCCTATATTTAACAAGTCTGGAACTATGAGAAAAATCCGTTTCAAAATTGTAATTACACTAACTTGAACGCCATATGCAATTCCAAAAATGTTGATAATAATATGACTTGAATGAGACATAACACTGAGCACGGAGGTTAAAATGCTGCATTCAGGGTGTGTCGGAACAGGCAATGCTCACTATTCTACAGTGCTAACCTGGTACCAACATGTTGTCATTCCAGATGTTGTTGTTTTTTTTTTTAGATTATCATTTTAAGATACGGTGACTATATGGAAATGCAAGCATACACTGTGGTGGTAAAACAATCTTAGATGACAAAGCAGCAGGAACCATGTTAAAGAAAAACAAAAAATATAAACCGTGATAGGATGCCACCTGTGCAATAAGTCCAGTCGTGAAATTTCCTCACTATTAAATATTCCAGTCAACTGTTAGTGGTATTATAACAAAGTGGAAGCGATTGGGAACAACAGCAACTCAGCCACAAAGTGGTAGGCCACGTAAAATCACAGAGCAAGGTTAGCTGATGCTGAGATGCATAGTGCACAGAGGTCGCCAACTTTCTGCAGAGTCAATAGCTACAGACCTCCAAACTTCATGTGGCCTTCAGATTAGCTCAAGAACAGTGCATAGAGAGCTTCATGGAATAAGGTTCCAGGGTCGAGCAGCTGCATCCAAGCCTTACATCACCAAGTGCAATGCAAAGCGTCAGATGCAGTGGTGTAAAGCATGCCGCCACTGGACTCTAGAGCAGTGGAGACGTGTTCTCTGTGATGAATCATGCTTCTCATGTCTCATGGATGAGTCTGGGTTTGGCGGTTGCCAAGAGAATGGTACTTGTTTGACTGCATTGTGCTAAGTGTAAAGTTTGGTGGAGGGGGGGATTATGATGCATGGTTGTTTTGCAGGAGCTGGGTTTGGCCCCTTAGTTCCAGTGAAAGGAACTCTTAATGCCTCAGCATACCAAGACATTTTGGACAATTTCCTGCTCCCAATTTTGTGGGAACAGTTTGTGGATGGCCCCTTCCTGTTCCAACATGACTGCGCACCAGTACACAAAGCAAGGTCCATGAAGACATGGATGAGTGGGTTTGGTGTGGAAGAACTCGACTGGCCTGCACAGAGTCCTGACCTCAACCCGATAGAACACCATTGGGATAAATTGGAGCGGAGACTGTGATCCAGGCCTTCTTGTCCAACATCAGTGTCTGACCTCACAAATGCACTTCTGGAAGAATGGTCAAAAATTCCCATTAACTCCTAAACCTTGTGGACAGCCTTCCCAGAAGAGTTGAAGCTGTTATAGCTGCAAAGGGTGGGCCAACATCATATTAAACCCTATGGATTAATATGGATTGTTGCTCAAGTTCATGTGCATGTGAAGGCAGGCGACTGAATACTTTTGGCAATATAGTGTAAGTAGAAAGACAAAAAAGATTTTATTAAGTGGACAGAGGTGGATACCTGATATCTATGAAGAGATCAACAACTCATGGTGCAGAGGCGTCATTGTTGATGAGGGTCAGGTACAGCAGGGGCATTGTCTTCTTTACAACTTAACGTCAACTTCTGCGTCCCAGTGTTTCACGTCAGCTTCTCTGGTGAGACAGGAAACAGCAGGGTCTTCGTCTTCTTTACTATTTAACACGTCAACTTCTGAGTCCCAGCGTCCCACGTCAGCTTCTCTGGTGAGACAGGAAACAGCTTGGTAAACTGCAACTTTTCAACCGATAAGTACTTTTCTCTAACATAAAGAATATAGCCAGTCCACTGTCCCTCACAATGGCTTTATTCTCCCTGACTGGTGCTTTCAGATACTCAACTAAGGTGCTGTGGAACAGTACAGTCAGTTCAGAAAGAGAAGGACGGAAAGAGATCTAGTCACCCTACGCATGGTCCTGAAACTAAGTCTGTTCAGTGAAGACAAGAAATGTAGGTTTGTTAGTTTAAAAATGTAAAGCTCAAATACAGATGAGTGGAAGTGAGAGGTGTACTGCTTCTTGTCCCTCTCCACTATTCCCAGCCTAAGTGCACAATGTATTAACTGAGTTTTATACACCTTTATGCAGCTAGGTCTACTCTTCATCATCATCTTGAACTGCAATAGTCACAGCTGGCTCTACCTCAAGTTACAGCAGCTGATCTAGCCTGTATTTGCCTAGACTCTGCCTGATTTCTCTAGGTACCTGCACTTCTGACTACCTCAGTCACATTTCCAGCAAATATACAGGTTTAAAGAGGGACTCAACAACTGTCCAAACTACCAATAACTTGAAAGCTTGGACTCCTTCACACACTGAGAAGAAGGGGAGGGAGAAAAGCCTCTTATGATGCGAGTTAACTCATTTGACCTCGTTCTCTGTAGTGTGGAGAAGTCCTGGCTTCCTTAACCCTAGAACACAGTAGCGGTTCTACATTGAATTACTCCCTGGGGCGCTCAGAGGGGGGGGCCCCCCAGGAAAAAAAAAACACTAAATTTTGCACAGTGATGTTTTACTGTAACAATATAAGTGTAAGACAAACTTCTTTCTACTAAGTGGACCCCCCGCCCCTTCGTCTGCTCCATTTGGGAGAAGTGAACTCTCCTCCTGCGCCCCATCCTCTTTCCACCTCTCACACAGCTTCTGCGCACAGCACCTTCTCATCAAGCAGGGGCACCACATATGATAGATAATAGAAAACCACTTAGTGGCGCAGATTATTTTCTTTCCAAGTGCTTGTACCACCCCCCATGTGTCATGAAAAAATGCCACCCGGTTCGTCCACTGCTAGAACAGGTTGTCACTCTGCACTGATTTAGCGAGATAAACACACAACCTGTAATGTTCCCCAAAAAAGCAATATACTGCAGCAGTGTTAACCATCACTGATTTGACACTACAACTGTCTCCCATGTTTGTTCTCTACTCTGTCACTAATTTCAGTGGGTAGAGCAGTCATCTCCCAACCAGAGGGTTGGAGGTTTGAATCTCGGTGCCTGCAGTCTACGTGTCAAAGTGTCCTTGGGCAAGACACTAAACCCCCAAGTTGCCCCCGATGGTTAGAGCCATCGGTTGAGTTGGCGCCGTAGATGGCTGCTGTACTGGAAACAAATTCCTTGTGTGTAACATACTTGACCAAATAAAGGTGATTATCCTTATACATGTCAGTTTAGAAAACACAATCAGTGTACATTGTGTAGGAATATGTGGAGTTAGAAAAGAGGACAGGCAAATTCATGCTGCCAAGCTAAGAGCTGGCAGGACATACTGTAAAGGGCCAATTTTCATTTTTAATAACTGAGGCACTGTCCCTACAGAGCTCAGTTCCTTCATCTCTTACTTCCATATAAAGCCTGTTAGCCTTGAGAGAATTCAGCCCACAGTATAATCTTTCTATAAGAAAGTTAAGAGTAAAATTCAGTAATAATAGTTCAGTATAGTGTCAACCTGTGTACTTGACAATCAGGCTTCATAGGATAGGCTGTTGTTCTCATCATGGACAATAGGACAATAGGGCTAATACACCCAAACCGGGTGTCCACAAGCTTTTCTTTAGAAGGATCTTAGTATCAAAGCTCAGTGATGGTTTTTTATAGTCATCATGCACAAGCTTAACTCGGAGTTAATTGAACTCAGGCAGTGTATCATCCAAAATATAGGGTACAGTTGAATTAACACGGCAGTAGAAATAAAACAACAATGTAACCTTGATGAATGTAGTAATTTTAGACTGCAGTAGATTTTTAGAAGTAGTACAAAATAAACTTACAGAGTATTAGTACTGTTATTTGCTATAATTACAGTGGGCGGTGATGTCTAAAATACAGTAGTAGCTATGCCCACAGAAGAAGAAGAGGTGGCGGCAACAAATCAGTTAACGCTAAAGGAGGAAGTCTTGTTGGGAGAAGATCGTAAGAATAGTTACGAATTAGCCGTGGTCTTGAGCGACTGAAACGGAGATAAAATACACAGTCTCGGTAAGTTTGCACTACCATCGTTAATATGATAACAAATAGAGTGGAAACTGTGTATTGTAATGTGGTTAGTAATGTAACCAGCCGCTTAGTTTTAAGATAACTTTTAAGTAACGTTGAACTAGCAGCTAGCTAGTTAGCTAACAACCAACCTCAGCCTAGCTACATGTACATCGTAACCACACAGGTGCTGCCACAACAAATGATGGCGTTGTATAAAATACTCCCCATAGCTAGTCTTTATAATAAGAGAGCAACCAAGTTACATGTGTTACCGATGTAAGTTCATATTAACCAGTGCTACAGCATGTGACGCCATTTGCAGCGCGGCTGGCAACGGTTCGCCGTGGTGGATTCCATATTGAAACAACTAAGCTACGTTAGTTAGCATACAGGCCATGCTAGCATTTGAGCTGTGTGGTTTGTCAGCGCAAGTAATGCTTCTTCACCTCTAATGTTAATATTTACACAAAACCTAAGGTTAACTTTAGCATATACGAACCATTACATCGTGCTGTATAAAATTACTTGCGTACAGTTTCAGTGGACGGACACGATATCATAAACACAGTCAAGCTAACGTTTTAGTAATTCTGTAATGTGTAGGGCATTTGAAATAACGTACGTTAGCGTTAACTATACTTGCAACCAAAATTCTTCACTGTAATTAACAGAAGTCTTAAATCTGCTCTCCTAGCTGCTGGAAACAGTAACGTTAGCTCTAAAATGTATTTGTATATGGTGGCACGCTGTTAGGAGCCATACACATCTGACGTTAGTTAAATTAAATGCTATTGTTTTGTCTGTGGATTCCGCTGCAGGAAGCTGCTATGTTCTTTATAAGCTTTATGATGCATGAGTATTTTTTTATGCTTGAAAATAAAACTGTTGTTTGGAAACTTATTGTAGAATTGTTTTTACTATTTTTAACGGGATGTGCTCGATGTACCCTACTTTGCATGAACATGACAGTTCTTTTGGGAAGACTAAGCATTGTATTGTGAAAATATTAAGAACATCTTATAACTGTGTGAAGTGTTATAAATATATAAAGTGGTTACTAACTTTGTTTTCCTTTCAGACTACTTGGGATTTTTAAATTATGTGGATACAGAATCCAGGGCCTCCAGGTTCAAGTTAAGGTATGTAAGTGGCTGCTCCCTCAAAAGCATTATGTAAGTTACTTTCAACTATAAATATAATGTAACAAAAATCCCTTCACTTTCTGATATCAGCCTGTAACATGTGCTGGGATTGACCTCTTTTGCTGAAATAATTTTGTATTGTGCCATGCAGGCTGCATGAACTTGACCTGAAAACCTTTAAAAACACTGGCTTGTTGGAACAAAAGGATATGTATTAATTTTGGCATTTTTAAAGTGACCATAAGCCCATGATTTCATTTCATCGATGTGACTTTCCTTAAGACATACTCTCATTTCAAGAGAAGAGGATGATTTCAGCATCCACTGGATTTTTATTGCTAGAAAAAAAAAACATTGAGTTTTCTGCAAAGTTGTGTAGGTGGAGTTTCAGCTGATCAGGCTGCACAGTCGGTAGCTGTGCCATTCACTCCACATTATCACAACAGCTGCAGGTCGGCAGTTTTGTTTTGCGTGAAATGTCGGTTGCTTCGTTCTGCATTGCCTGACCATCGACTTAAAACCATTTCTGAATTTTCAACGGGCACCATCTCTTAAGAGATGCAACAAACTAATCATTCTTTGCCTTCCTTTTCTTAACACGGAGGTGATGCTTTTATTTTAGCATAAAACTGAGGTGTATGCCCATAGGGTCACATACAAAGAGTCGTGCTGCATTTTATCTGATGTCAGAGTTAAATTCTGTACTAGCACAAACTATATTGTCAATTCATATCATGGCAAAATCTATACAGGTGTGCCATTTACAGTTTTCCTATGAGATGTAAAACTGGGCGATGTCTGCTGAGAATTTAATTCAGCCCAAGCAGACACACTGTCTACAACAGGGCGGCTGCTGTTAACCAGCCAACAACACAGAACAACTTGATCAAATAAAATGTTATCTGAAATGAGAACTACAGTGGAGGAGAAAAGTATTTAACACACAAACGACAAGGAGATTGTATCTCAAGCAATAGAGCCTTTCCAGACAATGAGTGACGTGAAACTGTGGGCTGGTTCTCCAAGGTTTTCTCATTCCTACATAAGGGGTAATTGAACGGAAATCCATTGCGATATCAGTTTCACATGGTAGATTTGCATTTGCATGTATTGTTAATATACTCTGAATTAATCATACGTAGACTGGCTTACACTGCTGTCCCTGGTAGGCTAGTGGTTAAGGCGCCCTAGCGCTCTCGCTGCTGCCCTCCGGGTTCGAATCAGGGTTGCATCAGGAAGGGCATCCGGCGTAAAACACGTGCCAAATGTCAACATGCGAGTTGCTGTGGCGACCCCTAAACGGGAAAAGCCGAAAGTGACTTTCTAGACTGCCTTACATTGATGTTCCACTGCCGTCTCTCATGTCATAATACAAGGCAACATCTTGCGTAAAGACCTGGCGGAACAATGACCTGCCACGCAAATGAGCAGGAGAGATGCAGGGCATATTAAAGAATACATATATACAATGTTGGAGGATTTGTGATTTGAGCAGAACTGTTTATTTAAAATTTGAGGATTTGCGACATTTGAAATGCATTTGAATTTGCATTGTCTGAATTTGTGTGTGACTTTC